CGCCCCTATTTGAATGAAAACGGAAGGAACGTGGAGTAGTTTTTTGCGAGCGCTGCTCATTCGTTCGTTTATGAGACGCAACCAAAGCGTATGCTACAATAGAGGGAAGGAACGGGGGGACGTGCAGGCAACTGCTCCTCGCGATGCGTTGCTTGTGGAAGGAGCAGAGAATTTTGACGCACGCGCACCGGTACTGCTGTTGGTTTAAGGGTCTCGCATGTTGTAGCGTTAGCCCAAACATTTAGTGCAAGACAGGAGGGCGGCGGAAGGTGCACCGATACTGTGCGGCTAGCCAACATCTCATGATGCCAAGCAACAGCGCCGGGGACGAAGAGTTATCGTCCTTGAAATGTTCACGCCGCTTCCTTGTGGTAATGACGCTTGAATTTTTTAATCCCCATGTACGATTTTACAGCGAGGATAGCTGCTGCTGGTGTCCTGTTCCCCCTCCTGCTTGCTGTTTTCGGCGCAAATTCCAGACCATCTACTGTCACCCTTGCTCTGGTGCATCCATCCATGCAGCCCCTTGCCCGCTAAGCACCACTCCTCCCCCCCCATCACGGTATGGATTGGCATCGCTCTAAGGTGCTCGAGCAGTACGTCCTCACGGATATCAAGACGATGATGGGCACTCCGGGCTACACTTCGGCAACAAGAGCGACCCGACCACGACGGTATTGCCGTACGTTCCCTGTGTGCGAGGCTTTATTCGAAAGGGCGTTTACTGCGAAGGGCGGCGGCGGTCAAAAAACTTGGACGTCATCAGCGACATGCACGTTGCTTTTATTTCGATATGCGAACTAAGCTCTGGGGGGCTGAGGGTTTTTGTTGTCTTTTTTGGCGTATTCCGCTAACCCTGTCTCCCCTGTGTACTGCCGGCAATTTGTCAGGCCGATAAGCGCTCATTGGACGTGCAAGCTCTGCTGAACGTCCAACACTCTCGTTTGTTTTGTTCCTGAGGCGTTCCAGCGTTATTAATCGTTTCCCCAAATTTTCAGTGTGCCCTGGCGTTGCTCCTAGGCAGTCGACGCGCTGGTGGTTTGTCGCAAGGTATTTGTGTATGACCCCGTGACGTCACACAAACTGACATTCACATAGAACGCTCTTTGTTCTTTGTTTCGTGTCTCCGGTTCTAGGAGAGCTTCATGCGGTTCGGCTTGGAATACGTCGGGCCGATCCTCTCCACCAAGAGTATTGATCTTCAGGACGACGCTAAGCGTTACCTCAAGCCGTACTTGTTCGCGGACGAGGGGGCAGGAGGTGGAGGAGGTTAACCAGGGGCGGATGGGGATGGAGGGTAAAATTAAGATGGAGACGGGGATGTTCTTCGTCTCGGAGCGAGAAAAGCGATGGTCCTGATGACCACGCTGGCTACAAAGCCTTGGCGGAAACCCAAACGGTGTTGACAAGGTGTGTCTTGTGTCTTGCCTTTCCAACAATCGTGCCTCTCTTTCTGCCTCTTTCTCTCAGCCTGCGATGATGTTGGATGCTTGCGTGTTTCTTGTCGTGCACCCGTCATGCCCGCGGCTCCCTATAATGTGGACCCTTCCTCATCCCAGCGTGTCCGTTGGCAACCCCTGATGTTTGAATGTACCTCGCCTCCCTTCAATTTAGTTCTGCGGGGGTGCGTAGCTTATCCTCGTCTCTGACGTGTTCTACGACCTGCGGAAATGCTGTCGGTTTGTCCCCCCGTCCCCTCCCCCATCTCTGCTTGCAAGTATTATTGTTGACAATGTACATCTGTCAGCTATAGCAAGAACTATACTGCGGCAAAGGGGGAGCGCATGCCCTCCATTCCTCGACGGAACACTATCACCCTCTTCTCACACTTGAATATTATTTCGTCGCTGATCGGTAACCTCCAGGTCGAGTCGCCGGGACCTCCGCCGCAACATCGTTCAAAGCGTTTTCTCGGGTCCTCATGGCGTTCACAACGGGTCCAAGCTTGGACGGAGGAGGCGGAGAAATATCCCGCTAGTCATGTCTCACAGCATTTTATTTTTTCATATGGTCCTATGAAATGGTTGCTGCTTTCGCTGGTGCATGAGGGCGCCTGGCGCGGGATGAGAGCCAGGTGTTCTGTTACTGTGTGTACCAGGGCGTTTGGAATCTGTCGCTGCTGCCTCTTGGCTTCGTCCGCGCCGTTTGTTGTCCGTGCGAATTGTGGCTTTTTGGGAGGGGAGGGGGTAGTTGTTTCGATGTTGTTGGGAACGTAGATAGGTCTATTTCTGCAGTGTCTGCATTGCTTTTGGAGGACACTGCTGTCGCAGCTGGCTCCGTCTCAGGCAGTTACGTTTTTTCTTGACTAGAGTTAGTTGTAGAATTTGGGGCGGCCAGGGTGGGGGGGGG